TATCTATACTAAAATAATACAATATAAGAAATAACTAAATACTAATAAATATAACTAAAATATAATAATAAAATAATAATAATATAACTAAAAATCTATCCTATAACATTATGATATGAAGAGAGATATTTTATACTATTATTGTTTTCTCATCTTTGTATACTTTGTTCTTAAAGCTTTTTTGATATAGAATCCTTTTTTTATATTTCTTCAAGTCTTTATCTTCTTCTCTATATAGTCATTTTCCTTTTCTTTTATAATTGCTATAGCTTCTTTTTTTCTTATTTATCAAATAGCTATACTTTTCTTCTTTATTCTCTGTTTTTATAAAATTATTATTTTTTATCTGTTCACTTTCTTTAGTTTCTATTTTATCTTTTTTATATATCATTTTTTCTTTCTCTTTAGCTTTAATATATCTTTCTTTATTCTCTTTATACTTTTCTACTTAAATTACTTCTTTTTCTTTCTATTTCTTTGAGTTTTAATTTTACTTGTCTCTTTCTTTCTATATTGTCTTTACTTTGGCTCTCTATTATATTTACTTCTTCTTATTTAATTTTGTTACTTATTTTAGTTCTCTTTTTTAATATCTCTTCTAATATTAAATTTAGTTACTCATATTCTTCTTTTTTATTCTCAAATCTTGTTTTTGCTTTATCATATCTTTTTTTATAATTAAAATATAAAATACACTATAGATTTCTTTTTGTAAACTTTTTATAAATCTCTTTTAAGTGTTTTGTTTCTCTTAAAAGACTATCTAATATACTTTTCTCTCTGCTTAACATTATCTTCTAATATATTAACTGCTACTATTTTAGTTTTGTATTCACTTTTTTCTTTATATATTTCTTTTTTAGATATCTATATACTTTTATTAAGAGATAGATTTCTATATCTTGACTTAATATACTCTTCTAGTTGTTTAAACTTTTCTTTAAATATGTCTAATCTTAGTTTAATTTCTAAACTTTCATTAATTTTTCTAATATCTTTTATGTTTTTTGTATTATTACTTCTGTTTTTAACTATTTTTTCACTTTTATTAGTTTTATTTCTACTTCTGAATTTAGATTACCTTTGGTTTATATTCTTTACTATTTGCTACTAATTTTGTTTATATCTCTATTTTTGTGTTTATTATACTTTCTTTATCTACTTCTATTTCTTCTCTTTTATTTTCTTGAGTCATCACTTCTTTAATTTTTGCTAATTCTTCTAATATTGTAATTCGTTATATTGCAGTTCTCTATTGCTTTGCAACTATAATTATTTCTTTGTTTACTATTAATACTGTTACAAGTGTTGGCCTTCTTGATTCAATACAAGTAACATAAGACATGGAAGAGGGGCTCTCAATGGTGTCCAAGTGGAGTTTTACTTCACTGTAGCAGTTCGTTACAAAGTTAGTAAAAGAGCAAAGATTATACTTTATTTAGAAAACAATATCAATAATACAAGACTATCTATTAGTTTCTGTGCTAAGAGAATTCTAATATTAAAAAGATTGTAGAGGTCAAACCTAAGTTGGAGCAAAGGGAAAAAAGTGGGTTTATATAGCTTTTTACAATTAAGAATAAGAATAGTAGAAACAGTAAGAATGGTAAGAACAGTAAGAACGGTAAGGATGGTAAGAATAGTAACTATTTCTAAGTTGTTTCTAAGACAACTCTAAAACTATGAGTTCTACAGTTATGAATTATAGCTCGTTTGAAAGATCTCTTCAAGCTAGATCTAATAGTAAAATCTAATTCTAACTTTAGCTAATAAGTTATTAAGAGAAACACTAATAACTAAATCTAAATATATATAATAATATAAAAATATAATATTTAAGAAATATGCTAAAATCTATTTTATAACAATATCAATATTTGTATTATTTTATTGAGTAAAAATAAGAAGATTATTAATTGTACATATTTTATTAAGAATAAATGTATATATAATAACATGTTATATGATTTATATATAACTACTTCAAAATTATATGCTAGATACTATATATATATAAGATTGTATATAAACTTGCCTATTACATTTCCTTTTTATAATATATATATATAATCTCTCAGTCTAGATTCTTTATATATATACTATATATAATAATGATAAGTTGTTTATTGTAAATAGCTTTGCTATACAAGGTTGTTTATTATAATGATTTTGATTTTTTTTTTTTTTTATATTATATATAAGCTATTTTATTGTAATAACTTCGCTTTTCTTTTTATGTTATAAGCTATATTATAAGCTATTATAAGTTATATTATAAGCTATATTATAAGCAGCTTTTTTTTTTTCTATACTTATAAGTAATACTATAAGCTTTTTTTTTTACTATAGCAATAAACTATATTTCTAAGATTTAAATTGGGTTTCTTTTTTTACCTCTGCGATAGACTGTTAGACAACTTGGTTTCATATGCAGAAAATATTAAAAAAAAAATTAAGATAATTAATAGTCAAAAAGTACATACGAATAATTATATAAAAAGTAAAGCCTTATTTTTAGAAATTATTTCAGTAGAAATTTCTTTTGCCTTTCTATTTTTTTTATACAAAAAAAACTAAGTAAGAATCTTTTAATAAAAATTATTTAGCTTACTTTTTTTTTTTATATTGAAAATTTCTTTTATCTAGTAGAATCCCAATAAGAATTCCAGTAAACTTTAGCTTCTCACTTTTTTTTTTTTTTTTTTTTTAGTATACTTTCTCTTATCTAATAGAATCCTAATAAGAATTTAATTAAAACTTTTAATAAAGTTTGGCTTCTCACTTTTTTTTTTTTTTTTTTTTTTTTTTTTTTTCTTGCGAGATGAATATAATTGAACCAAATATTCAAAAAACTATTCAAGATAATATGCCTGAATTACAATATATCCAAGAAATTATTCAAGATAATATAGCTAAATTGTGTATTCAAGAAACTATCCAGTTTGATATTCCTCTTATAAACTCTTATAATATTAGTATATTAAAAGTATTACAGTATATTTTGTTATATATTCATTGATTAATTTTATTAAATTCTTACCCTCAGATATAAAACAAGTTGAGTTAAGCAATATAATATCTGAGAGCTTAATTAATGAAGGTAACGTTATAATTTTTTCGTTCTATAGCATATTCTTACTAGAGATACTAATATATTGTTTTAAATTATTCTAGTTAAGATCTTTATATTGGCTATGTCTTTAAGTCATGGGAAGATATTAATATGATTATAGAATTCTATAGTAAAAAGTATAGATTTTAATTATAAAGAAATAGTTAATTCAGTATAAAGATAGCAATATTAGGTATCGTAGTTATAGATATGAATTCAATAGCTATTATCAGCCAAAAAAACAAATCGATATTAATAGCTATTGAGGCTATAAATCTAAGTACTAACAATACAAATAGAATGCAAATTTTAATTATACACAAAATTCTCAAAATATAGTTCTTATTACCTTTCTCAATTTATATAACCATGCATTATTTCCTAATACTGAATGATATATTACAAAATATCAGTTTATTCCTAATGATGTTCTCAAAGAAGTTCAGTTTTTTACTGAACATAGAAACTTACCAATTACTACTTAATAAAAGTTATTAAAAGCAAGGTTCTTGACCTTATCTATCCTTGACTGTGACCTCACTAATATAATACAAAAATTTAAGATTAAACCAGATATAGTTTATAATGGATCTCATTTACTAAAAACACTTATTCAATATAAATCAAATAATCCTGAATGGTTTGTTAAGTTTCAACTTGAAGAAAATAGACTATCCTAACTTTTTTGAATATCTCTAACTCAGATTATATTTTGGTTAAAATACTATGATATTATTTTAAATAACAATATTACTAAAACAAACTAGTACTATATGTCTCTTTCACTTTTTCTCATCATTGATAATAATACAAAGTTCTGTATTATTACCTAAATACTTGTATCTGATAAAACAGCTGAGTTATATAAATAGATTCTAGAATATACTAAAAACATGACAATAACAGAGCCACTAGTATTTATTACAGATGCAGACTCTACTGCAGATGTAGTAATTAGACAAATTTATGAAAATACCTACTCGATTCATTGCATTTTATCATATTAGCAAAAATTTACTAAAGAACTTCAAATCAAAACTTAGTGGTCAATATAAAAGTTTTGTTAATAATTTTTTTTTATGTCATAATAGTATATGTAAAAAACTTTTTAATAAAAGGTAGTTAGAACTTCTTAAAAAATATTCTAATGTAAAAAGGTTCTTTTTGCTTCATTACAGATCTGTGGTCTCAAATTCATAAACTGTATATTGCTATAACTATTTATTAGATTAGTTCAGAATTCACCCTATACTAAGCCTTTCTTATTATTCAAAAATTTGAATACTCTCATATAGATGATCGAATTGAAGATTTCTGCTAATAACTTTTTGACCAATGGGGTATATATAACAAACTTTTTGGAGTTTCAACAGATAATACTCTTTTAATAATTAAAGCAATGGAGCAACTTGGTATTGAAAATATAGATATAGTTGTATTAAACAAAGCTATTTTTTTATTATATTATTGAGTAAATTAAATTTCATGTAATATTAATTATGGATAATACCAAAAAAAAACTAGACTTTGATTATATAAATTTTATATTATCAAAATCTAGTTTTTTTTTTTTAGTACATATAATAAAAACACTAATATCAGAAATTTCATTATGATCATAAATATAGTATCAGAAGTTTATACTTGACAATCACAAAAATGTTTTTAATTTCTTATCACTATAGCTGGCCAATAAAATTATATATATTTTGATATACTACAACAAAAAAACTTTAAATACTAGACTGAGCTTTACAAAGTAATAATTAGTTTTTTTAAAAAAAGTTTTTCTATAAAGTTATACAAATATGAAATTTGGTTATTTTTTAATTGTTATAACTTTTTATAGAAAAATTTTTTAAAAAACTAACTATTAACTTTGTAGACCTCAGTTTTGTATATAAAGTTATCAGTTAACTTTTATAAAATAATTTGTTTGTAAAAAGTTTTAATATTTTAACAAATACAGTAAGTTGAAATATATTAACTTTATTAGTCAACTATGATCACAAGAAAATTGAAACATTTTTCATAATTGTTGAGTATACTTCTGTTACTATATATATTTATCAAACAATAATAAAAATTACATGAATTTTACTTATGCAATATTATATAAAATTATATGTATATAATAATAGTAATTGTAAAACAATATATAGATTATACAGTATATATAATTTAACTCATTTTAGAAGATGGATTTAGTGTTATAGAAATTAGTAATTTGATTAATAAAACAAAGGCATTAAATAGTTATGTTAGTTTTTGTTTTATACATTATTCATATCAACTCTTTCTATAGATCCTAATTTCTAAAAATAAACAAAAGTCAAAAACATAGTAGTATCATAGCTTTGTTAAAAACTAGTATATCATAGCTTAATAAGCAATATTATTAAAGCTAGAGTATCTCCTTATATCCTTCCAAAAGAAGTTTCAAGGAAAACAAACAAAAACTACTAAAGTTTTCAATGAAACTTCTCTAGAAAAATTTTCAAATGACAAAAAGTAGGAAATTGTTAATATCTGGTATTGCAGATTCCTTAGATTACACAAGATACCATATAAATCTAGAAGTAAACAAACACATGTTTGATAAATATAAAGCATATATACCTACTTAAAACTAGACAACTTCTGGAGGCTCAGATTTATTTAAGAATTTTACTATAATAAATTGGAAAAAATATAGGCTACAAAAATCCAAAGTATAGTATATATAATTTCATTCATTTGACTTAAACTAAAATATGATAGGAAAATTTAGAAAGATAGAAAGATATACATTAAATCTTGAGAATAGCCAAGTAAGAATTAAAGCTAGAATCTAAGAAAGAAATGATAGAATCAAGTCCCTTCTCAAAGAAGAATTTCTACAAAAACTTATTAGAAAAATTGATAGAATAGAAGAGAGTCAAGAAAAAATAGATAGTTATATTTCAAGAATCACAAGGATCGAAATAAAAACTATTTTAATAGCTAGAGCTTAGCAAAAGATTCTAAAAGAAATAATAATAGAAGAAAGAAAAGCAATACTTAATATCACTCTTAAGGAACTAGAACAAAAGCTCTAAGTATTAACAAAGAATACTAAAAAAAGAACTAAAATTAGAAAAAAAAAAGATTTGGAAAGAGCAAAGATTAAAAGATTGAATATATAGAGAGACAAAAAGAATCTTATACTTTAGAAGAAATGAGAATTTTGAGAATGAAAGAGGAACTAAATCCATCATCACAAAAGAAATCAAAGAACTCAAAGAGAAGTTAATAAATAAGAAAAAAATAGTAGTTGAAATTCTTCTTGATGAAAAAAGTCATACGTTTCAACAAAGTATACAAGAAAATAGAGCAAATAATGAGACAATTAAAATAGACTCTCTACAACCCGCATATAAACAAGAAATGAGTACAGAATTATTTTAGCAATTTTAGTAGAAATACCTAAAGATGAAATTTTAGCAGAATGTAAAGAGGTCCTTTTAAAAATATCACAACTAGAAATTAATTGCTTAAAAGAATACTAGAAGAACCAAATCGAATATACAGTCTTTACATATAAAGAAGAAAGAGATAATGCTATAGAAGATAGTGAATAAGCTTCAAATAAAAATATATACGAAGGGCAAGAAGAGTTTAAAGCAAAAATAGCAGCCTTTTCTTTTTCTGAAAACTCAAAAGAGGATAGAATTAAATTTGTGAGAGATACAATTTACAAAAGTTGTCATATAAGCAAAATAGAGGAATACTTTATAAAAGGCAACTCTTGAATAGTTATCACCTTTGACTGCATGAAAGGTAAACAAATTATGGAGAAAAAATTAAAAAAGAAAGAAATATAGTAGTATAAAGTAATTTTCAAAGAAACAAATACAAATATAACGATGACAAAAAGTACAAGACTCAAGAACAAAGAAAAGTCAGAATCTAAAGGCAAAACAAAGATTTTACTTGGATCACTCTATGAGACCTTCCTTTAGACTACAGTAAACAAGAAGTTATTAGGCTTGTTAAATATTTTGGTTATGCAGAAGAAATAATCTTAAAAAAACTAAGATTCTATCAGTCTGCAGAAATTAAAGTCTATATACGAGAGGAGAAACAATTCAGAAAACTCAAAGCCAACTAGGTAATAGGACTAGAAAATAAAAAGTTAGCACATATGATTATAGGAAGTGCTAACTTCAAATCTCTAAAGGAAAGAGAAGGGTATAGAGCAATTCTAACAAATATTCCAAGTACAGTATAAGAAACCTTACTTTTATGCTCTCTATAACAAATAGGAGCCAAGGCAGTCTTTATACCATACAACTCAAATTGAAACCTAAGTTATATTGTGAAAGTTTTTTTTGAATACTAAGAAGAAATAGATTATGTAATAAAAAGGAATATCTATTACTATAATACAAAGCACTTCTAGAAAAAAAATAAAAATACTAATACAAACCAACAAGAAGAGAGTTTATCTTCTAAAAAAACAACTAAATTAGCAAACAGAGTAATAGATCCAAAAGATACAACTAAAGAAAAAACAACAATTAGCAAGTAGAAAAAATACTAGAAGAAAGAACAGAAGTCCTATTCTGTAAATACTTTGGAAGCTAATTTCTTACATATTTAAAAAGAGATTCTGAAATTAGGTACACAAATACAAAGAATGAGACAAGAAAAAGAGATCAGAAATAGAGCATTCAAATACAAAAATGCTCTAAATAGATTCTAAAGGCACCTTATTCAATATATAAGAATTAGCTACTAGTTAGAGTAGCAAAATAGGAAATATGAATATGGACAAACAAAATCTGATCTCTCCAAAATCAATTAATAATATTTCATTCTTCTCACAAATTAAGATAGGATTTCACAATATTAATAGTATAAAAGGAAATCTATATAAAGCACAAGAACTAATCGAACATGAAACAAGTACTAATCTAGATATAATAGGGATTATAGAAACTAATATTCAAGAAAAAGAAGGCTGCTTCATCAAAATAAATAAGAAAAACTACTCTATCTATTGGTCAAATTCAGAAAAAGAAAAACACAAAGGATCAGAAGTAGGAATCTGGATAGAGAACTCATGGACCCAACATCTAACAGAAGTTAAAAGGCCAAATTCCTATTGTATTAAAGCTTTCTTAAGGTTTAAAAAAGCAATTCTTTTGGTTTAGATTATTTATATCCCACCTAATAACAAGTGCAAACAAAAAGAAGTTCAATGAATAATCACTAAAGACATAGTTGGAAAAAGGAAGAATGAGTATTTTATCCTAGAAGAAAGACTTTAATCATATGCTTGACTTCACTACTGACTGTTTAGGAGCACCAACTCAGAACAAAATATGAAAACTACTTCTTATTTTTTGGCTAAGCAAAACAGAATTCACAGAAACATATAAGTGTTGCAATCTTCAAGGAGAGAAGTTCACTTGGAAGAACTCCAAAATGCAAACAAGAATAGACCAAATCTGGATTTCAAAAAATCTCAGATTAAGACTATAAAAAAGTGATATTGAGAATATGGATCTAGTTACAGAAAGTGATCATAATCTTATATAAGTACAAATTAAATTAGATCAAATTATAAAACTAGGAATTGGCTATACAGCAGGTTGTAAAAGTATAAAGAGAAAGATATTTCTCTATAAAGATATAATAAAAGAAAATTGAGACGATTTCACAAGGGATTTTGAAAAATCTTGCAAAAGCCTATATACAAAATACTAGAAAAAACACTCCTTTCCTCAAGAAGAACAAGAAATAGAAGAAGAAATAATCAATGATCTATTAGAGAATATTCTAAAAGCTATTTTAAAGTTAGCAAATAAGAATATTCCTTTAAAGAAAATCAAACAGACAAAAAAAGAGTTTAATAAAAACATCGAACCAAATTTACTCTACTTAGACCTTCATAATCTAAACAGGCTCTTAAGAAAAAAAAAAGGAAAAGAAGGCATCCAAATAGATCAGATTGAACAACTTCTAATAAACTCTCAAATAGAACTCATAAACTTAAGACAAGAAACTCAAATCCTAGAAGTAAAAGAAATCTGAACAGAGGCATAGTTTCTTGAAGTATCACACTAGAAAAAAATAATCCAAAGAAAATTATGAGTAGTACACAACAAGAAGTTCAAAAAGAAATTATAGAGAAAGTAGAAGCTAGATTTGAAATAATAGATAAAGAAGAAAAAAGAATGCTAAATAGCATTTTAGAAAAACTCTGGAAATGACTATTAATAGACAGAGTGATAGTTCAAGATACAGAAAACAAAAGCATCCAAATACTCCTCACAGAGTCTAAAAAAGTTAAAAAAGCTGCAAATGAATACTACAAAGATTAGTTCAAAGCATGTAAACACTAATTTAATTATATCTAACAACTCTTTTCACTAATCACTAAAACCTAATATGGAGCAATAATAAAAATTTAAAAACAACAACTCAGCAAGAAATATTATTGTACAG